AGACCAGAGCATAGCAGAGCCCAGCAGTAAAGACCAGAGCATAGCAGAGCCCAGCAGTAAAGACCAGCGCTCATCAGTACAGAGTACAGAACTCTGAGATACTAGTACGAAAACTCAGGAAACTCAATTTCGCTTTCAAAATTTAATTTTGCTTAGGCTACTCAATTTCGTTACAAAAGGAAAAAAAATTATGGCCACAAGATATTTTAGTCTGCCATAAAAATCGTATCGGGGAAAATTTCAATTTTTTTAATACTTCAAAACAGTTTCATAATTCTCTGAAGACCAAAATTTCTCCTCGTTTTTCTCCTATCCCATTTTACCCCTTTTTTGTTCATTTTCTTCCGGCAATTTTTTCGTTTGTCACATCGTATGGAGCATGACCTTGAACGGATTTCATGTTAGAATGAATCTCAAAACACTGAAAAATTCCTTCACTTCAATTTATTTCAATTTGCCTCTGTTCCTGAATAGTCAGACAGATGGCGTCGTCTGTAAAATTAAATCAGCAAGCAATTGACCATAATTATAAATATTCGAGTGTTATACGAATAATTAATTTCGGTCGTGAAAAATTTTATTTTGGCATTTAAAAATTTATCAGAATTTTCGTGTTACCTGACCCTGACGGGATTTCAGTAGTGGTATTCTAGAATTGTTTTTGCATGGCCGTTGGCTTAAACTCGAATCCTCCAATTTAGTGGTGCCTTTTGAATTATTTTCCACGTGCGCTACGATTTTATCAATTATCTCATCCAAGATATTTTTAAATTCCAATTCATCGTCATCGAGACTATCAATCGTGTCGATTATTTCATTTATTTGTAGGGATGAATTTCCAACTGTGTTGAAGCCAAGTGGCAAAATGTAAAGCTGATTATAATTTTCCGCGTCGAAATGTAATATTCTTTCCTGTGAAATGGAAAGAACGTGTATCACAAAGGCAAATTCTTATTTGAATGCATCGTGTTTTTTGTACCTTTATAATTCTATTAATTTCCAAGGGCGTCGGAACAAATTCAAGATATTCCATGATCATTTGATCCTCATTGTCTGCGGGTTCAACGAAATTTCGAGGATCTGATGGAAAAGCTTGCAACCACTTAACTGTCATAATGGTGATGAAAATACTGGACAAGTTTAAATATTATTGCAGTGAAATGGGGAATTAATGAAAGAATGGAAATTGAGGATAACTCACATAACCATTAATGTTAAAATTGGAAATGCAAACATTTGCCAATCAGCCTCATCTGGCTGATTAATCCATGGTATTATTCTTTCAATCCAATTCTTATTATTCACACCATCAATTAAAACATTCACGTCCCGATGAATTTGTTCATAAAAAGAGAATAGCCACGAGAAATAATCACTATTTATTTTACTAGAAAACATCCAATTGAACATCGTGCACGAGGTAAATAGAACTTGGTTAAATTTTATTCCATATCAACGAAAATAATAAAATGCGAATACTGAGTAAAACAAAAAGCAATCATTGATATCAGCAATCATTCTTATTTTTCCCAGAACATACATCACGTCTTGGTAATTTCTAATTTTTTTCATCATTTTTATTACAATAATTTCCCCCATCGATTTTCAAAGATGGCTATAAATTATGAAGAAATAATAATTGCTCTGAATTTAATCGTAAAAAAATCGATGATTTCATTATCACGTCATCATTTGCGTTATGAGTCAAAACATACTTGTTAATGATAGTCAACTCAATATTTTATATGATAAAGCCACCCACTTGAGAATTTCAAGGAATCGTGGAAATTGTGGAAAGAACCGTGATGAGCTTTGCCAATAAGATAAGATAGCTGATAACAGATAATCAGCTGAATATATATAAATTATTCCCACTGTATCCTATCAGTCACAGTTCAGATTGCGGATTGACCGTAGCACAATTAGTAACAAAGATTCAGTCATCAAAAATGTATTCGAAGTGTGCCTTCCTCTGGGCTCTCGTAGTTGCAATTGCCATTACGACATACTCACCCTCGCACGCGTACCGTTACAATTACGCCACAAATAGTACCAATAAAAGTCATAACTTGATCGTTGGTAGCAGACTTCCAGGTGATCGCATAACTTACCAGGAGAATATCGTGAAGTCATCGAAGCTGTGGCAGATTACAACAGTGGAGAAGACGTTTTATGCAGCTAAAAACGAAAGAATCACTCAGGTCTATGCCCTAGATCAGAAAACCAATGGAAATGGAGCCTACGCTCGTATCACCAAGGGTGGACCTGGTTTGAACAACGTCACCATCAAATTCAAGAGCCAGAGGAATCACGGTATCAACTTCCTCGTCCAAATCTACTCCAGGCCCTGAAGTGTAAGCTATCGGTGACAGCTGGATAACAAAATGTCAAATTTTTTCTTCGGTTTCCAAAAATTTCAATAAATTCCATGTGGCAATCAATTATTTCTCGCTAATATTCCAATTTCATTTCGTTCCTCCCCCGATATTCAAATATGCAAGTAATTAAAATATAATCAATATTTAATAATGGAACATTCGTCAGACCTGATGAGAAGGTGTGATTTGACTACAGAAGGCCTTATAAAATATTCAATGAACTATAAATGTCTCGATCTATACCTGGAAGCCATTTATGTCCGTTTTAGCCGTTCTTTCATAGTCTTGTTTTATAATTAGAAAGTATATTTCTATCTTTTTTCCTTCATTGTCATATTGAACTCAGGTCACCTATAGTCGAATTAAATCGGGAATAGTGCCAACGTAAATAGTATTCAGGGTGGTAAGTTGCTGTATTTATCACAGTTTTATTTTTCTATCTATTCATATACATTTTCGATAAAAGTGATGATTCGGTGAAACGGTGGAGGTAACAGAAATAATAATTCCGGTACAATATAATTTTCCAGTGAATTGATATTGATTTCATAAGGAGAAAAAAAAATGGTTAATTAATGTAAAATAATGAGAGGTGTGAGAGAGAATGGCAGTGGAAGCAGTACATGCGTAGGTCAAATAGAGAAAAACTCAATGGCGGATGGGAATAGGGAGTCGACGGATATATGAAAACGGGAGTTTTATCGATCGTTAACATTAAATATTTAATCATACCAAGAAAGTTCAATACTCGGACCTGCGGTTGAGCATAGCGTGGGCTGTCTTTGAGAGTCAGGTTGGCGTCTGCCACGTTCCGGATATATGTGCAAGACACGCAGCTCTGACACCAATCCCCACGTGGATGGAAGTTGTCCTGAATTATTTAGTTGTCGATCGTCTCACCCCCTAGTCTGACTCGGTTGAAATAAAAGACTAAACAATTAGACAACTGCAGTGGATTATGAATACAAAAATAAACAAACTTGGAGGACTTTTAACACTCACTGAATTATTATTCAAAACTAACTCTAGATAGTAAAAAGGCACTTCACTCTTTTACTATGTTAATATTAACTCTGGAGGGCGATGTAGTTTCGACTTCCTGAAGTAGAAGTAGTTCAGTTTTTTGTTCTCCCTTCTGGACGATTTCAGACCACCAAATGTTTTTGTGGGATTATAGTGAGTTGGGAAATCGGGTAATATCGTGAAATCCAAGATATACTTCAATACTTCATTAATTAAATAACTCAGTCATTCGATTGGCATAAAGTTCAAGTTCATTAGAATCGATGAAAGACAAATAAACAAGAAAGATATGACGACATTCTCTTTTTCTCGAGCCTCGTTCAACTGAGTCCCCTATCATTTTATTCTTTTTACTCTGCATTACAGTTTGAAAAGTCTTTTTAGATAAGGCGACATTAATGGCTGTAGGCGAGCGACTTGAGCCGCACACTGGACCATCTCCCATAGGTATCTGCTGCTGTTGAGTTTCCCCTAGATTCAAATCACGTAGTTTAAAAAGTTTCTACTGGTTATCGAATTGTCTCTACCTATCATTATCTTTTTTCCTCCAAATTTAAACCAAGCCTTCCATATCCACTGGTTCCTCCATTGTCCATATTAAACTGGCGAGTGCCAAAGAAGGACAATGTTTCTATCCATCACAGGAAACTGGAGAGTCCACGGAAAAGTCCGGGTTGTTGGCGGTGCCAGGAGGGGTAGCTTTTGTAGCTTTTACCGATGGCAGGTATAGTGCAAGGGGTTGCAAGGGGGTGCAGGGTGTACAGGGAGTACAAGCTGGGGCTTGCGCATTATTCAAAGTGAAATGTCCATCGTCATCTCTCTTGTATTAATGGAGTTTAAGTTGGTGTGCACCGTTTCGACATTGTGGAAAAGAGAAGCCACGAGGGGTAAGAGAGTGAAGGAGAGGGTGGAATGTGTGATAAAGAAAGAAATGCTGTAAAGGCGCGCGCAGTTGCGTTGGGAAGAGAACGGAGTTCCGTCATTCGAAGCCCGCCAACAGAGGAGCGAGCAGCCACGGTACGGGAGCACGTTCGGTACAGTTGTAAATTCGCGAAAAAAAAAAATCTGATAAATCACCCCCTCTCCCCAGACAAACACCGCGGTGTCTGTTTATCACCTGCTTAATACCATCGATGATAAAATAAAAGAGTGGTGCCACTGACAATTCCCGTGTAACCGTGATTCATTGAGGGTGAGAGGTCAATTTCACGATGACAACAACAACAATGATGATGATGTCAATGATGATCATAACGATCATGATAATACTCTGAATGCTCCTGTGACTGTGAAAACAATGCATCAACTCTAATAATCTTTAATAATCTCGAATAATCTCTAATAATGATAATCAATATGATGGTGCATCAGAACGACTGCTGTCAATCTAGTGATAAAAAATTCAATTAATATTTCATTGAATGCAAATGCTTGTCTTCATGCAAATACTATTCGGAGATTCTACTGGAATAGTGTCGGGGGGAAAGACTCGGTATGATGTTTGATTGATTGATGGTAATATTTGAATGTTTAGTTAGAGGAATAATTGGTGTGGGGTGAAGTACACCTGCTCTCGTCAATTTGAAATATTTTTCTTTTTGGAGTGATAATCCTTGGGGGAAGGTTGTTCTGCAGTTTTGTGTGGCTGTGCACAAACAAGCCAGGCAAGTAGTGACGAAGTGGTCTGCTTGGTGCAGGGCCGATTGGTGCCGATTCAACACGAGTTGTAAAGTCGACGGAGAAAGAAGAACGCTACTTCAACGAGGGGTCCATATCTTTCCACTCGTGAAAAGGGATAAAGAACTGAAGTGAGTGAAGGAGTGAGACAACAAAGACATAATAGCCCGTACTCCTGTTTTTTCACTATATTTGAGATTTATTCAGACTAAATGAAATCTCCCTTTGAGGTGATTCTCCGTACGATATGGTGAATGAAAAATGAAGAAAAACTGCCGGAAGAGAATGAAAAAAAGGGAATCAAATAAAACAGAGGAAAAACAATAGCCGCTGCGAGTATTTTTTCGACGGAATTCGATTGAGCGTTGCATCCAAACGAATTCACCGAAATAACTTGGATATTGAACGAGCTATTTGATAAAGTGAGATTAATGATAGAATTTAAATGTTAGAATAAATCAATTGGTGAATTTCGATTGGTGGAGGATCTGGGAGTTGATGAGGGGAGAATATTTTGTGGGCACACATGATTACCGATTTCAACGTTGTGTATAGGGTGCAGTGTGAACAACCAGTTCTCTCTAGCTCAGAAGCTACGACATCGCCTGTTCCTTATGTGTATATGTGCAAATCGTTGAGTCAATGTGCACGTGTTCAGCTCCCGCGAGAGATTCACGTATGGGCCTGATCCCTATCTCCAAGTAGAATTTATCCAACGGTTGGTACTCCCTCGTTGGGTAGCACTTTCTTTCATTGACATTCATATCATTTTTCACATTTCCCCCGTGACCTGTATCATTGAGAAATCATAATAATACACCAATTTTACTGTGCCATATTTTTTTTTATCACTGGCTATTCTCCTGTGCAAATGAAAATTTTCTGTGTTATTCTTTCGATCGTTCAATAAATTTATTTATGACTTTGAGTTCTGAAACTTATTTTATCTGTTATTTTCTACTTAGTTGTCATTTTTTGGGATTGTGCTAATCTTTATGACTGAGTTGATATTTTTTGAGGTTACGAATTTTAATCGATTGCAAATTTCTTTCTTTTTGTTGAATTGAGAAGGCTCTATTCCTATTTAAAATTTACCTCAAGAACTAGAGCTGAGAGAAAAACAATAGTGAAGGCTTGATTATCTCGCCGGATATCCGACGGGAGGCTGTGAATTCACGTGTGATTGTTGCATTGTTTTGAGTGACTAAACCGCAAAAGGGAATTACATACAAATTTCACTCAGCAATTTAAAGGATAGTGAGTGTGATTCAAGTGTGAACGGAACTACTGGTCATCGGTTACACTAAAAGTGAGTATAGATGCTGAAATTGATTTTAAAATTGTCTGACACCGATTTTACCAAAAAATTTCATTTTCAATGTGAGCATGTAATTTTCATTTGAAAAATAATTTTAAGATCGGATTTATGAATATATAACCGCTGTTGGTGACCTTGACTATAATTCCAGGCTTAAACAGAAATCTGATTCTCTGATGGTGCGAGAATTGAGATGTGAAAATTTCAAATAGCTGGCACCAGATTAATTTTTTCATAAAAGTCGAAACGGAATAATAGAATGAGATTCACGTTGTTTGTGGTTAGCGAGAATTAAGTTTTTCCAGTTTCGATTTAATATTTCTGAAGATCCAGATAGTTTGCTCCGTTGCTGTCTTTTCTGTAGCCGCTGCAGCTCTGATCGCGCCAATAATTTTTTCTCCACGATATACTCAGGGCCATCGACTCGTACGGACCAAGAAAGAGCAAAGTCGGTTGTCCCCGGCGAAATAGAGATTTATTTATTAGGGGAATTATTATCTCCCAAGCTGCTGCTGCTCCGGTCTGGTTTGCTCTCCTCTCTTGAGCTCTCTGCCGTTCTGGTCCTTCTCTCCATGTTGACGCTGCAGCTCCTTCTGCGTGAATGAATTTTCGTTTGAGATTCATCTACGGATATCAACTCGCGCGGACCGTGGAGAAAGGCCCCCTGGCGAGTGGTCTTCTACAATTTGAATTTTTAAATTTTTCATTCCAATTTTGGGCTTGTGCGCATAACTCATTTTTGTTCCCCCACCACCCGGTTTTCGACCAATCACGGGATTTCGCCCGTAACTGGGTTCTTACTAATAGGGCTGCATTTCTGGAGAGGTCTCAGTCTGCGGAACACATTGGAAACATCCACATGAATTGTGGTGACGGATAAATAATTTCGAGGAATACTGATGGCTGGAACATCTCCTTATTTTTCCTCTCCTCTGCTTATTCCCGATTCTACTCTCATCCTGCAATTAAGGAAACAATTGAATTCTCGACATCGGACGGAGAATTATCCAAAAGGAGATTTCATTTATTTTGAATAAATTTCAAATATAGTGGATAAACATAATAGCACCCCGACATATGGGCTATTATGTTCTTGAGATATTTCACGTCTTCACTCGCTTCAACTCTATCCCTTTCCAGGAGAGGAAAAATATGGAATCCTTCTTAAAGTAGAAGCTTAGCCAATCGAAGTGTAAATTGTGGTGCGGGAAAATAGCTTCACGGTTTGACGAAAATTAAAATTTCTCTACTTAAATTTGGTTAACTTAACTTAACTTCGTTTTGACTCGGTTTACCAACGACCGCAGAGATGGCGTTGTCTGTAAAAAGCAATTGGCAAAATAACCCAATGTATTAAAACCAAAAACTCGTCCACGTAAAAAATAATAGAAACAATTAAACTTCCAGTGCTTGAGTGTGTGGAAATTCGAGAAAGACATAACTGTAATATGCGCCCCAAACAATTCTCTCCCAATGACCTCGGCTGCACCGAGCAACTCGGATATTATGTGGAAGACACAATCAAAAATTCCTCAATTCAATTTAATTCATTTATCGATTTTCAATGGTTTAATTGTCAATTCTTTCATTTTTGATTGTTTTTATTTTTTAATCACAAAATAAATAATTTTTTCGTTGATTGCTTCATTTTCGTATGATCATGTACTTCCACGTACATATCCTCGCGTTTCTAATTCATCGGTAAAACAACGCGATTGTTAAATGCAAAGTGAATTGATATGTCAATGTGTTGCTTATGGGTTATTTGATAATTCAATTGTGTTATGTGTTGTGTGATTTTGTGTAATGCAGGTGGCCGAAAGACTGAAAGCTACCTTCACATAAACAATAAGTGTTATCAAACGGCCTCAAGATTCAGCCGGACGTCATGCCTTGGTTCATCCTATTCCTACTGCTGCTATCTGTGATGGAGGCCTTCCCCAGGGAGGCCACCTGTTCACGTTTGCCGGACATCTACTGGAACTCCACCAGCCCAATGTGAGTCACGTATTTATATTTTTCTTAACCATGCCAGTGCATGACCCGTATCGTATGCTATGTCATGCTTATTTCATGGACTATCTCGGAATCGAGCCAAAAATGTTCAGTATTTTCATTTTATCAGCGAAAAGAAAAATGACGATTCACTCAGCGTATGTGAATACAAGTCGGGTTTAGTTTCAATTCTGTTCAGGACTGTCTCATTAGTTTCCAATTGAAAAGTAAAACTCGAAGGGATTCGAATTCGAAAAATTCTTGATAAATATTTCTACAAGTTATATCCAACGTTGGTATCAATGCCGAAAAATAATTAGAAATAAAAATCAGAATAAGAATTCCATTGCAATGGAAATAATCGGAAGCAATCGAGCATTATGAATCGATTGGGCGAGGAGGAAAAGTTAGGGGGAGGGATGAACAGGAGTAAGACTTTAGAGTCACGAGCCGAATGCTGATAAATCGGAATCGATCGTTGATAAAATTCTACGTCTACTAGGCGAGAGATTCGCGAGATTCACACTCCGGTGAAACTCAACTCTTGTACCGTCATTTCCACCCAGTTGAAAACGTACAACCCGCACAGCAAATTGTTGGCACAGTGTGCTAGGGAAAAAAGAAATATCCGAACAATTCAGCATTGAACAATTTATTTCTTCATTTTTCTCTACATTCTAATTTCCACTGAACTCGTTCCCTCAATAAAATTGAGTGGATAACGTATTACTTTGATAACATATTACTTTGATAATTATTCAAATAGTGCTGTGAGCTTGAGAAATGTTTATACTAAAATGGAGAGAAACCCTTTGTCATGGCTCCCCCTCTCTGTTCATACTACCTTCAGGCAGCTTTCAGCAAGATTGATAATTCACTTAAGTGCTTCACAAGTGTAACACCTATCGTTGAAAATCACAATGTCACTTGGAAAATTATTTTTCCTTCTAAAACAGAAAGCATTTTGTTTCCATTTACGTCAGAAAATTGTGTCGAGTCAGGGAATTTATTGCATATTCCGCGATATTATCTAATTTTTCATTTAAAAAACGAAGATAAATTTCATATAAATTCGGGTTGAAAACATTTCAAGTTTTATTCACTTGCAATATCAGGGTAATTCTTTAATAGGGTAGGCCGAGTCTTTCCGTTGGATTGATTAATTGTTCATCTTTCACATTTAGGCCAGTTTTTTTTTTAATATGTACTCATACTCATGCTCAAGTTCTGTGAATCCAATGAGGGAACAACTTTTTGATGGAACGATGGCATCCATTAAAAAGTTAGTTGGGCACCCATGGGGCTTCATGGAGAGTTGAAATGATGGACTCTGCCCCTCACTCCCTTCCTATCTCTCCAACTTCCCATTCAGGCTCATTGGAAAGTGTTCAAATCATATAGGTAAAATCGTATCAGTTCATGCACGGGAAAACTCATCTGATTTTATTTCAGAGGTGATTTTACACGGATTTGTTTATTCTATCACTTCACGAGAATAATTCCGTAGAGATATCTTATTCATTCAGTAGCCGATGAAATTGAATTCAAGAGAATATTATCGATACTTAAAATGACCAATCATCTCGGTGAGTCTAGTATTGGCCTTTTGCGTCGTTTTGCGAATGGGCGATAATCCTCTGGTCTCACTTCTACCAATGAGTCCCAGAAGACTCGACTAAGTCTGTCCTTTTTCGCAATCTTTGTTGATTTTTTTCCCTCCTATTCTTTTCATGCCTTCACTTATTCAAAAAAATTGAGAGGATTCCCTTTTAATTCTCCAGTGGAGCCTTCCTGTTTTTAACTTGGATTAATCCTTTTTTTTCTTCTTCACTTATTTTTCCCCGTCGTCTTCAATTTGATCCTAATGAGTTCTGAGAAAATTCTCTTGCATCATTCAAAAGCAAAGTGCATCTGGGGGTTAAGCAAAATTTTCCAAGTATATTATCAACTACTCTATGCTTTTATCATTTCAATTCATTATTTTTTCGCGAGCAAGTAATCCAGTATTTATCAAATATACACCGTTTTATGATTTTATGATTGCAAAATATTTTTACTTTCCAAGGACTAGCTTTCCCGTGTGGCATATTGAAATGTAGGATATATAGAAAAGCGTTCGCTGTTCACGACAGGTATTCACATTTGTTCTGTATATCCGTTCGGTTTTTTATACCAGTTTCCGTGTCGTACCTAGTATTTACATTCATTTGATCGTTAGTCGTATTTATTGACATTGGGTGGATGGAATTAGGATTAACTTATCTTTGGGATATCGGAAAGATTAGGATAGAGGAATCCGTTAAATTTCAATACATGATTGTTTTCCATCTAGTAGACATGGTGGGATAATACAGTTCTGTCTATTTACTAGTGAGTGCATGGAAACCACGCAAGAACATGTGAGCTGCGTGAGATAGATGTTACCTCGATCCCCTGCCGTACATGAGGTTGGGAGTCGTAAGGTCTCGGGTACTACTAGTAAACTCGTGAATTCAATTTCAAAGTTCCTTTGCACACTTGTAAGAGCTCTTCTATAACCCGTTTTTTACAGTTCTTTACACCTTTTATTTTCATTTACATCTCATTGAAGTTTGCCATTAAGTAGACGCAATAAAAAAATCCGTACAATTGAATTTACATTCAATTTTTCAGATAAATGATATATTTACAATTATATATTCATATTAGTCTCTCCTTAATACTGTATAAAGGCATCAGCAAGAAAAAGTGCAACTGCCGTAAGTGCACGTCATTCTGGAGAATTATATTTTTGTTCTCTCAGTGAAGTACAGATTTGACCGTCTGGCGAAACATTGTCGGGGGGTAAAATAGTAGAATGGAAAGAGGGAGGCTGTGTGTGTGATAAAGAGAGAGAGAGAAAATGTGTGTGTGTGTTGGTGAGGAGATTGGGAAAGGACCCTCGAGTGGCTATTAATTCGGCACACTCTCTGGGTCCCCGTTCTACAATAAGCGTGAAATGCCAATTCATATTCCGCGCACTGGTTTCAGAGGACAAAAGTAGGTCCTCCGACATTCTCAGGGAACTGATTTGGACAAGCTAAATATTCCGGTCCTTCTCTTCAGATATACGTTCATAAAATCAAACCGAAAAATTCCCTAATAACATTATTTTCAAGTAAAATCTTATCACAGACATGATTCGGGGAAATCGTCATGATTACGCTGATGTATTTAAGATCGATTCAATTTGAGGAACAAATTTAACGGACGTAACGGTTAAACGCGTTATTCTTGGCGACCGTGATTTTTGAAACTTTGAACATGTATATATGTATACAATTCGTTGGCAATTTATTTAAACGCTAACTAGCGCATACGTTTGAGGGTTGCATTTGTGTATACATTCGTACACAGTTCACTATCTCTTTGAAGAACCGCTCGCGCCTGCGGTTTCTACCGCGATATTACCGGATCGTTAACTCCTCGATCGTGCAAACCCTCTCCTTTTACTCTGATGCTGCTGGGTAATGATCTCGGCGTAAGATCCGGTTTAACTCTCACGGTTGGACGCTGACTTGTAATTTTTCCCACTCCCAAATATTTTCCATCAAATAGAAAAATAATGAGTAATAATGAGAATTTTAATTCCCTCTGTAAAAAATTCATCGTGAGAAATGATTACTGAAATCAATCAAATGCGATTACGTTACCACCCTCAACATCAGAGAGTAATATTTTTGTATGCTACACCCTTCCCAAGAATTGAATATGAAAGCAACTCACCAGGGGTTGAGGACGGTCGGCTTTAATTACCCAGGACTGTTTGCCTATATTGTTGTCTAATATTTGCGGCATCGATCGATAGTCTAGTATACATTACGGCTGGACGATAGTTACCGGCAACGTTGGCAACGTTGTGCTATCGTTCAATGGTAATGGCCCCCCAAATCCAGTACCCACGCACCTCATTCACAAAAAAAAAAAATGAAATAGAGAAGAACATTGCGTCTCAATCCGTAGTACCGCGAGATCGGTGAAGAAGAATATTCCGAAAATTCGGGACGAAATAATGAAGCAGTTACAGATATTTTCTTTTTCCATCCGACAAGATTTGTAGTCGGATTATGAATTGAGAGTGGAATAGACAAGTTTACGCATTTACCCAGTTTCACGTGCTGAAAATTATCTCGAATGTACCAAGTGCACAATGAATAATATCAAGGACTTGGATATCTGCTTGAGTATTATGGTAATGTCTTGTAGGCACATTGGTGCCTCCGAGGGCTTTGCGATGCTAAGTACCAACAGTTCTATTTATGCTACTGACCCACAAAGAGAATCCTGTTGGATTTAGCAGTCCCTCAACATAACATAATATTATACCGAGTGTTACTGGCCAAACTTGCACCAGAGATCCAGATGAATTTCACCTTCGCAATTTGACGTATCCTTTTGTCTCGGTCTCTGTTTTTTCTTCATCATTTTTCCTACATATACGCGATTAATTTATCATTCGTTCATTTATTTTGCTAGTAGATGCAAAGAAGACACCTCTTTCCTCGTCTTACCAAACTCACCGACAAATATTTATGTAACGCCTCTGGCATGTGTGAATGAAGGTACACGGTGTGCAAAGACGGAATGAATCAATATTTGGTTTGCAGCCGGTATCGAATCGATCAAGAAAATGGTTGGTGCATCGAGATATGCCTTCGTCTCGCACAACCGTTACCCTCGGAAATTCACTAAAAGCTCACTGTTTCATTTTTATTTTTCAACGAGGGAATATCATAAAGCGCATCGTTTTACTGAAGAACACATTGACGGGGTTTATATATGTAAACGCAATTTGCATCCAAGAGACCCATTTACGGCGGAAATTCGATATCTGAATCTGGGCTACGATTTAATTCGCTAACTCATTGACGACGCTGTTAGGGCGACGTTGGACTACGAAATGGCGTGGCAGGAGACTGAGACCCCAGTGTTCAAGTCCCTACTTCAAATCTACTATAGCTAGAAGCATCTTTATTCCATTGTACAAATGCAAGTTCATTTTTCGTCCACTTTTCAATCTGCCCTCGTCGAGAATATTAACAGCTGTATCGTGGAGGATTCACACTCACTCATAAATCTGTCAAAAAAATGTACTTAAAATCTACTTGATTCAAGTACATCATCCCAGTTCTGATCCGTCGTGAAAAATTTAATATCCGTCAACGCTGTTTCTCTCTTTTAACTGTTGCCTGACTAAAAATGCGTATTAACTCATGGCAGGGTGAGCCATTTATCTCCCACACTACATTCACTCTCGGCATTACCATGTCTGCGCTCTTTCATCCGAGGAATATTGTGTAATGATGTTTGACGCCGGGTCGAAGATGTCCGTGTGCTAGCCTTGAAAGAGCACCCAGTGTCTCCGGCGTGTTTAATGAGTGTGAACATGGCCAAAATGTTTTTACCGGTGGCTCGAGAAGAAGAATAAGCACCAAGTAGATTTTGAGAGAGCTGGGATAAGGAGGAAAATGCAGATGAGAGGAAATTTTTTGTGGAAATATTTGAGAGGGCGAGACAATGGAAAGGACTGAGGAGGACAAGTAAATGAAAATAAATGAAAAAAAAAGACAACGACATGATAAACAGTGAGTTAATTGAAAGTAGGTGGGTTAGAGAGGCCGCGTGGCAATGGTGTTCCGTGGCGACGATGCGGCTGGATGAATTTCGCGCCAGTGTCCATCCCTTTTCACGTCCAATGAGAATCGATCGTGCGTATACACTATTGGCACCGGGGGAACCCCCCGGAAGCCTCAAACGACGCTGTGGTTAAAGAGATAGACAGCGGGTAGAGGGCGGCAAGAGGGGCGACAAGAGGAATCGTAAAATGGTGTGGGACTTGCCGTATTTGCATAGTCGATTGCCTACCGATCGTCAGCGGCGTTTCGCTGCCCGCAATCCAATTCGTTTTGGCGTCGATTCTATCTTGGGC